CTGACAGATACCACCAGCTACTGCAAGTGGTCAAATGGGGAAGAAATTGCGTTTTCTCTCCATTTATACCCCCTCAAAATGGCAGGAGAAGGAGGTAGAAACAGACCTATGACTTCTTTTGTATAGCTTAGGGCTTTTGACTTTTACCAGACAGATTTCCTTTAGCTTCTAAAATTTTTCAGTTATAAAATCTCAGGCTTTTTTTTTTTTTTCTTTTTCTTTTTCTTTCTTTCTTTTTTTTTAGCTAACCTGTGGATGTAAAATGGAAGAGGGAAAGGAGGAAGGAAAAGGGAAGAAAAATTGTTAAAATCCACAACAAATTACTTTCTTCACAGTCCATTTTAAGGAGCAGTCATGAAGTTTGAGATTTTCCAAATGGACAGATCTGTTCCCACTCTACTTTCAAGACTTTATTTTATTTTTTAATATTTATTTATTTGACAGAGAGAGAGAGAGAGAGAGTGGGGATAGCAGCAGGCAAAGGGAAAAGCAGGCTCCCTGCTCAGTGTCGGGCTCTGTACCCCGGGTGGAGTCTGCTTGGGAATCTCTCTCCCTCCCCCTCTGCCCCTCCCCGCTCGCACTCTCTACTAAATAAGTTTTAAAAATATTAAGCAGAAAAGCTATTTGTGATTCCTGGGGGCCCCATGTCTGCCACGGAGCAGTTAGAAAGCCCCTGGACCATATTTCAAAAGACACATCAGGAAATTCTGAATATGTCTTGGGACTCCTACTAATTCTGTGGGATTACAGAAGTTTATAAACTGCATTCCGCATTTTTCCCTTGGTATTCTCACATACTTCTGAAATGTCAGAGGGATGAGATTTCCCTTTATCCCAATATTAAACATGTATGAAAAGCCTGGAGGAGAGAAAGGAAGACACTCAATCTAGTTTCTTTATAAAATCTCCTGGGACGGAATGACTCTTCACGTAGATTTCCATTATTAATTTAGCAACAGGATACAATTGTATAACAATTGTAGCTTTGTATCTGTGGTTTTTAAAAGTTTAGCGATGAAGCCCATCACGTTGATCAGGCACTGAGTCTGTACCAGGCCCAGAATCCAGTACTTTCTGTGGCATAGTTCATTTGACCCTCATACAGCCTGAGAAGGAGGCACTGTTGTTACTGATGTTTTATAGAGGAGGGACCCTGGATGAGACCGTGGGGTCCTCTTTAATGACTTGTAACTGTTTATGCTGATGATAAAATTCTCCAAGCAACATTAAATTCTGGGAGTCGGTTTGGTAAAAGAATTGGTTTTTATAAAAACCACTCGCTCCATCGTGGTTGGACTCCTCTGCCTAGGGTCACCAGCACTGTCTTTAGAACAAGCATCTGTTTCCTTTATCTGGGGTCTCAGCCAGATAATGGAGAAAGGTGGTGACCGGAACGTCTTCTTTTGAAGCCATTTGGTGGCAAGGAGATGTCTCAAAGACACCTTGAAGAAAGGAACTTTCTTCTTCTTCTTCTTTTTAAATAGATTTTATTTATTTGAGAGAGAATGAGAGAGCATGAAGGGGGGAAGGGTCTGAGGGAGAAGCAGACACCCCGCCGAACAGGGAGCCCGATGTGGGACTCAATCTCAGGACTCTAGAATCATGACCCGAGCTGAAGGCAGCCGCTTACCCAACTGAGCCCCAGAAAGAAACTTTCATAAAGGCTTTGGAGTTGGTCCTCATGTTACATATTACGTTCAGGTTACATATTACATCCTTCAGTCGGATTTCCCTCCATGATGACCGTAATGTCCTGCCTCCTACAGAATGTAGCACTATTTTATTCTCCCCACCTGTGACAGGAAGATCTATGTCCCCTGAAGACAAAGGGAAATAGATAAGGTCATAGGGCAGCATTCTTCAAATTGGAGTATCGTATACTGTTCTTGAAAGGGAAGAACATTCTTGGTAACCCATGGCGTTGACTTGAGCTCTTTTTATTTAAGCTCTTTTTATTTTATATTGACTTGAGTAATTTATATTTTATTTAAGTGTTGCTTAATGTACGTGAATGTACGCTACATAAGATTAAACTCCTTTTGTGTACGGCCCTGCACAAATAAAGACCCAAAACTGATTTACAAGTTAAATATAACCAAGACTGAAAGAATCCCCAGATAGTCAAATTAGTCGGGTGCCGTGAGAATAGAATTGCTCTAAGAGGTCTGGGCATACTTCTCCTTGCTGGGCACAGGCGCTCTGAGCTGGTTGGCCCTGTGCTATGTGATCATTGGGTTCTCCCCCATCCCCCATTTTCACCCTTCTAAACCTGACTTGCCTCTGAAGCACCTGGAGGGCTTGTGACAACCCACAACTCACAACCCACAACCACGGCCGTATCCCCAGAGATTCTGGGCGGGGCCCCAGAATTTGCAGATCCAACATTTCCAGGTGATGCCGCACACATTGGGAACCCCTCCTCCCAGAGTTCATTTCTGTTCCTTTCTCATTAGTCTGTGACAATAAGAGTGCTGTATTTGGGCATTATTAGTATTAGTGTATTAGTTGTGTTATTGTGTATTAGTAAACAAATGCAAAAGCAAGCTCAGAAATCCAGTGTGTACTTGGTTCTGTGGTGGCCGTCCAACGGATATATATCGCCAAAAGAACTAAAAAATAGAAGCCCTGAAGATGTGTCCTATATACTTCAGTTTGGGAAACACTGTACCTTGGGTATTATAAAATATTTACCTGTTGGTGGGGGGAATGATATTGTGTAAGTACGAGGCTTTTCAGGTCTAGGTGTGAATATGAAGACTAAGACAAAAGTGCCCAGACGTGAGCAGGGACAGAGAGGACCGGTTTTGTTCCACAACCAAAGGAGAGAAGAGAGAGACTGTGGCTTGGTACGGGGATGCCTTCCTCATGCCTAGAGTTGTCCTGAATGGAATGAGCTGCACTGGGAAGGTTGGAAACAGCGGTCTTGACAGCGGTTCAGGGGTCCCCAACAAGAACTCTGTGGATGTTCTGGGAGGGTTTCCTGTTCTAAAAGCCACGTGTCCAGGACCTTTCTAATGCAGAAATTCTACAGCTGGGTGGGGGGGGGGTCTTCTTAGTTTTCTCTCTTGTTGGTCTCCAAGAATCCTCCCAGCCAAGATGTTTAGCTCTGGCTCAAACGTTCCCACGATGCAGCCTTGCAGGATAAATCCTCAAACGCGTTACCAGCCCTAGTGCTCCATCCCTCCGCCCCTCCTGGCGTCTTCAGTTCTGTCACCATTCCCACCATTTGGCCCGCTTTCCAGGTTTGGGGACAACTTGGTACATTTCCTTCTGATGTCTGTCACTTACTAGCCTTTCTCTCTCTGGCCTGCCCTCCCTCTCGCTCAGCCGTCAAGAGCAGCCTGCCAATTTACTGCCGCGGGCTCCTGCTCCCCGTCTGAACCCCTAAAAGCCACTTCATACCAGATGACTTCTCCGCAGGTTGTCTGGCTGTGGAACTTGTATTTGCCCAACATCTATTCCTGTCCTGGGGAGGGTATTCCACCAAACGCACAGGGAAATGCTGCCCTACGTGGCTCTGTGTATGCCTGGTTCATTCTTGTTTCCGGATCTTGTCCGCCCACTTACCATCCCCATCCCAAAGACGCAGAAGCTCACACTCAGATACTCGCCCCTTCCCCAAGAGGCCACCTGTCTTCAAGTATTCATTGAAGACCTCTTTCTCCCTTAATTGAACGCCTCTGTGGTCAGAAGCAGCAGAGTTTCTTAAACCCCCTGCATTCATCTCTGCTTGAAGAGATTGTGCTTAGTCACCTGTTGACTTGTTGACTGCCTGTTCCCACAATCCAAGATGGCGGGGCCTTGTCTGGTTCACCGCTGCCCAGCACCTCTACCACTGCCCGGGGCAGAGAGCCGGCCAGCAAGTGTCTGTCGCCTGGACATTTGTGTATCTCTCTCCTTAACTCCACTGTGGGTTGCAGAGGAGGAACTGGGTCTTAAGAGTTATGCCTGCAATTTGAGAATGGTTTCTGGCTAGAGCCCGTGGGCTCTGTACCTGCCGTCATCGGGGCACTGTAATTCAGAGGTGCCTCCTGGAATTGGGCCCCAAGGGTCTTCATTTCAATCGGTCTCATTGGATTTGTTTTCACTGGAAATCCTATTGCCTGTTTTTAAAACATAGTCCCTCGGGCCCTTTTGAATGCTTGCGACCTCTTGGTGAGGCAGTCATTTCATCCCCATCAGGAAATCTCATCAAAATGATACTGGGTTTGCACATCAGGAAAATAAAAGTCCTCCAAGAAGATGTTGCCATTGGCTTTGGATATGAGCAGTTATGCCCACTCAGAAGGTCTTCCAACCACATCTGAGCTACGGGGGCCAGGGCTCAGGGCCAAATCTCACAATGAAGAGTGGTATAAAAAATAAGAGTGGGAAGGAGACACTCCCCGCCCCCACCCCCGCCGCCCGTGGAATTCTCTAGTTACAGGCGCAAGGAACAACAGGCCAGTTTGGGGGAGGAGACTTTTGTTTTGAAGGGCTGACCGGGAACCAGGCCTGCCAGCTGGGTTGTGACTTCCCCCGCCCTGCCCCCCCCCCATGCAGGGTCTTGCCCTATATTTTTTGGTGTGCCTTCCTCCAGGCTCCACCTTGTAAGCCATCCTTGGAAGACCACATAATGGCAAGACTACTTTCCCTCATGTTAGCAAGCATGTTCACTCATGCTAACATGTTCCCAGCATGCTTCTGGTATTTTCCACAGAATTTCATCTGGACTTCCTTCCAGAAGGAAGGACATGGTTTCCCTTCCTTAGGGGGCAGCTCTAGAAGTTCCTTAGCCTCCTTTGATCTCCACAGTCCATTGTCCAAGTCTTCTCAGGCGAGCTTTTACCCATGCCTTTCGCTTTTGCTCCTTCACTGTGGCGCCGAGTTTTCTAGAAAGAAGGCCTCTTGGGGTCAGCATGAAAGTGACGGGGCTGAAACTTTGCCAAGCCCGTGCCCTATTTGTCTTCCCCTCCCAGGAGCCTCATTCTGGTCTCATGCTTTGGTGTCTCTCTCTTTAGAGGCGTGAACATGTATGCCATGTTGACCGGGACCCTACCTTTCACAGTGGAGCCTTTTAGCCTGAGGGCTTTGTACCAGAAGATGGTGGACAAGGAAATGAACCCCCTCCCCACCCAGCTCTCCGCAGGTAAGGTGCCCGCTGCCGTGGCTTCCGGGTTCCAGGACTTGTGTGCCTATCTGAGTTGGTCTGTCCATGAAACCAGTATTTACTTCACAGAAATGGTATTAGGCCTTTTCTTGGGATTAAACTATGACTCAGGGGTGGTTGAGTTTCCCATGGCTAAGCCACCCTTCGTCTCACCTTGGTCCTTTTCTTTTCCATTATAACTCTGAACCCCCAACTTCCTCCTTTCTCCTTCTGCGCAAAACACACTCATTGAAAGGATCTTGGAAAAATAATTGCAGCCTTGATTGTTTTAAATCTCATCATATTATAAGGTCGTCTTTGAAAAAAGCATTTGTAATCACATTTCTATTGTGCTTTCCTCGGTCAATTCCCTGTAAAGAAATACTGCTTTCGTTCAAGTTTGGTCTGTGATTTGTCTTGCTCTTTGAGGTTTGGAGCCTGTTTGAAAGTTTTTAAATATATGTAGTTTCAGTGACTTGATTAGACTGAATCGTCAGGTGTGTTTGGCAAATAACTCTCGAATTTCAGGTGGTTCACGTTTCAGTAAACGGGTCGCCTTGAGATTTGGTTTCAGATCCAGTAAATTAGCACAGTTCGTTCCTTTGTTTGGGTCACGATTCAGTTCAAGTTCCTGGCTTCAGGTTGGCCCTGGCGATCATTTAATTGGCTCCTTAGAATAAACAATAAACTCAGCTTCACTGAGATAAGGCATGTGACCAACCAACAATAAAAAAAAAGTAATTATTTCAACTTACAATACATGGTTTAAAATATAGCATTTTTATTTTATCACTGTTAGGTATTTTTTCTCTTGAGTTTGTAAAGCATCCATGAAGCTGACCTTGAATTTATGCTTGCCAAATGGAATTCAAGCTGAAATGTGTTCTTGTGTTTAACGACCTAATTTGGTCTGTACTTTCCCCTTGGCTAGGGAGGGTAGAATCTCTTTGTACCCTTATGCCTGGAAAAGGCAGACAGAGCTCACTTTGGATCCCATGGAGACCCTAAGGACCTGGAGAAAGGCTTCTCGTTATTTTAGTCATGATAGGCCGGGCTGTGCTGCAGTAACAAATAGCCCCCAAATCTCAGTGGCTTCAGACGACAAAGACTTATTTCTCCTTCATGCCACAGATCTGCGGAGAACTGAGTCCAGAGTTGGAGGATTCCACCCCTCCTAGTCAGTCAGGGTCCCAGCCTGCTGGAGCAGCTACCATTTCAAACATACCAGGTCCATGTGGAGGAAAAGAGAAGTCTAGATCATATCTCGTTTAGCAATTAAGTCTCCCACCAATGTGCTGTTCATAACTCCTAGCTTTGTAAAGTGTATATCACCTGGCTTCACCCTACTAAAAGGGATGGGGAAATACAACCCAACTGTGTGTCTAGGGGGCAGAAAACCGGTAACATCTGTTGAACATCGTGAGCGTGAGCCACGGGCTGTGGGAGGAGGAGCAGGTGGTTTGGCCCATGGTTCCTGGGATGGGCTGTGCAGCAGGACAAGGGCAAGTAGCTCAGCAGTCCAAGAAGTCAGTCTCCTGACTTCAGAACTGACATTGTTTGGGGTGCCTGGGTGGTGCCATCTGTTAAGTGTCCAACTCTTGGTTTTGGCTCAGGTCATGATCTCAGGGTCCTGGGATCGAGCTCCGCGTCGGGGTCCCTGCTCAGCATGGTGTCTGAGATCCTCTCTCTCTCTGCCCCTCCCTCTCGTGCTCTCGCTCTCTCAAATCAATATCTCAATCTTTAAAAGGCAAAGAACCAACACCGTTTTTTTTTTTTTTTTAAAGATTTTATTTATTTATTTGACAGACGGAGATCACAAGTAGGCAGAAAGGCAGGCAGAGAGAGAGAGAGAGGAGGAAGCAGGCTCGCCGCCAAGCAGAGAGCCCGACGCGGGGCTCGATCCCAGGACCCTGAGACCATGACCTGAGCCGAAGGCAGAGGCTTTAACCCACTGAGCCACCCAGGCGCCCCCCAACACCGTTTTAACCCCAGTAATTTTACCCAGACTTAGCAGGCTGGGCTCTGAGCGTTTTCTGATTGTGAAAATTAAATTTACCTTAAAGAAGTAAAAGCTCCACCCTGAAGGTGTCTAAAAAATAGTTCAGGGGCGCCTGGGACTTGACCCAAGCCACTGGGGCCCTGAGCTCCATGCTGGCCCTCTTATCTTGTTTACACAGTGAAGGATCCCAGTTTTGGAGATGAGCCCCTGGCCTCCTGACAACCCCCCATTTCTCCAGCCCTTTGCCTTTTACACCCTGCCGGGTTTACCCCTTCTTCCCAACCAGCCTGGCCCACCTTCATGTGGTACCATCTCATTTATATCCAGAAATACTCGCTCTCCAGCAACAAGACTATCTGAATGGCCATATGTAAGTGCTTTTCACATTATCCTTTTGTTCTCATAATAATCCTGCAAGGTAAGTACTCTTAGTCCCAGTGTATCAGTGAGGAAACTGAGTCTCAATGAACTTATGTAGCTTCTCTGTTTTTGATTTTATGTCTGCTCAACTCCCAAACCTGGGTTTTCCTCCTAGACTGGGCTGCCTCTCTCCCTTTATTTTACTGGGTATAAGATGCTTCCCTTCACCCCAGATTTGGGGGAATTATTTATTATTGCTTTTATATTCTGAGTAATGTCAGAATTGGGATGTCCAGATGTAAATATGCCAGTTTCATTAAGTCTCTCACCAACACCCTTATTTTATTTATTTTTAAAAAGATTTTATTTATTGATTTGAGAGAGAGAGAGAGAGAGAGAGAGAGAGTGCGTGTGTGCACAATTGGGGGGAGGGGCGGGGGAGAGTGGAAGAAGGGAGAGGGAGAGGGAGAAGCAGACCCCCGGCTGAGCAGGGAGCCCAATGCAGAGCTCATCCCAGCACCTGGGATCATGACCTGAGCCAAAGGCAGACGCTCAACCGACTGAGCCCACCCAGGTGCCCCTCACCAGTGCATCTTTAATTTAATGACTCTGTCACTCATATTTGCAATGATCTCTATACATCGATTGTATAGTGGTACTCTTTTTCAGATTAAGTTGGGAGCATTTTTGCCCAATTGGAAGAAAAAAGACAGCGTTACTGCTTTCATGAGTCCTTCAAGCATGTTTTCGAAGAATTGCCCCTCAGCTCCACCACGTAGCTTGGAAACTGAAGCTTCTGGGACCTTTCCAGTTCTTGCTTCTAGACAGTCTCTCTCAGCTTGTTGGCACTTGGCATATCACAGCGTCGGGAATGCCTTTCATGGCTTACATATTTTTCAGACAGCTTGTCTTTACATCTCTACATCTCAGTGATGGTGCTTCCACATTCCAGACAGTCATTTCCGAGCAGGAGAATTTTGTACCACGAAGTCAGGGAAGTGAAGCTGAAGGGGAGGTGTTCGCAGTTGCAAGGGAGATCTCTGAGAAGCCAGCGCCAACGGAGATCTCTGAGAAGGTCCAACAAGTCATATAACTTGTTGCTTTTGCCTTGGAGTTGGTAGGGAAGGAGCCTCGAGTGGGGACGGGACTCCACTCGTGTCTGACGGGCTCCCCTTCTACAGAAGGTCCCGTGTCTGTGTTTGTGGCTTCTAGCCCTTTTCCTAGGCACGGTGTCAAGGTGTTCACACACACTGGTCCAGACCATGGAAAGCAGACGCCTCCCGGAGGAAAGTAGGTTTTGCACCAGAGAAGTGTGTGTTGCATGTGATATGGGGCTCAGAGAGAGAGCTTTCTGTGTGGGTTATTCCTACCCTGGGGCATGAGTGGAGACCCCAGTGACTAGTTTAGAAGAGTGGAGAGCAATGAGAGGCTGTGCCTGCCATGGCTTTCCAGGACAGTGGAGAATTTTAATCCCTCTTGCTCATGAAACATTGGGATTTTCAAGATCATTAAGACAAACTTTGGAGAACTCTCCTGATATTTTCAGAGTCCTTTTTGGATAGGAACGCAATGTTGGTGATGTCCAAAGAAATAAAAGTCATCAGTAGAGATCAGAACTAAAATTACTTGTGCTCATCAGCAATTTGCGAAGATGGCGAGCGTGTGGTTCTGAAAATAGAACAGAAACACACATCCAGTCTGTTCTTAGCATTTCTGGTTAATCATACTCTGAAAAAGCCTGGCGGTAGCCTTGTTGTACAGGTCCTTTGAGGGTAAGCTACAGAGATGTCTCAGAAACGTTGTGAACTCGCAGCCTCCACATTTCAATTGAGGAAGCCCACATCTTTTTTTGTTTGACCCATAGACAGCCTTGATCAGGCATCCAGATGACTCTTGCAACGTTGGGGAGTCGAGAGAAGGGAGATAGAGGTTCTGGAAAGAGGAACTTTTTTTTTCTTTTTTTTAAAGAGATCTTGTTTTTCATACCACTGAAGAATATTTTAGGAAAGTTTTATTTGGAGACCCCACTATAAAACTCAGAGTATTAAATGTACCTCATGTGCGAGCTGGTGTCTGCACTTATATTTTTACCCACGCCGTTCTTAATGAGAAACGACCTTCTGGTGACCACACCAACTGGATGGGAGCCCACTGGGGGTTTACCGGTGGCATGACCAAGTAAAATTTCTTTCTTTCTTTCTTTCTTTCTTTCTTTCTTTCTTTCTTTCTTTTTAAGGTTTTATTTATTTATTTGTCAGAGAGAGCGGGAGAATGCACAGAAGCAGGGGAGTGGCAGGCAGCGGGAGAAGCCAATTAGGACTGTGTTCTGGAGTCTATTACTTGGTATACTGGAAATTGAATATTATGGACAAAGCTACGTAAAAGGATATTTTTTATAGTGTCAAGATGATATGACCATGCTCCGTAAAAGAAGGAGCATAGAATGAAAAGAAAATAGTAGCCCCACAACTCAAGCAAAACAGACCATCTTCATTTGGAAGTAATCCCTGGCATTTTACCCGTATGTGTTCATGTGTATTCTGCTAGCAGTCTGGGAGCCTGTGACCTTCCTGTGAATTATACACATGTTTTCCAACGTCATGCCATTGTCCCACATTGTTATAATCTTCAAGGATGCAAATACCTACTTAGAGATGAACCAGCTTCCTATCCTTAGTGCCCGGGTGGACAGCAAGTGCTCTGTTAAAAACTCATCTAATGAAAAGAGACCCAGGGCTTTTGAAAATCATTTTCGCCTGGGATGGAAAGGAAAGGGGGCTGGGAGGATCATATAGTTTGTCAGTTGCTTCTCATACTCTTTCCTTACATACCACGCTCATGTGACCACAGCCAACTTTGGTCAGCTGCAAAATAAGGACAACCCTAAATGGTGTACATTTTGCCCAAGCAGCCCCTTCATTTTGAGGGAAAGCACAAAAGGAAAGGGCCCATCAAGTAGACATGGGTTTACTGGAACTTTGTACACAAACGAGGCGTATGAAACTTGGGGGACTGTTACAGAGTTTCCTTACACTTTCCCTCAACCTGGCTCTCTGATCGGGTTGGCTTTGTGGGCTCTGGCTGGTCTGGGCACCGTGTTGTCCGTTCAGAGTCTGGGGAATAAGTGGGCGGCCACGTAAAATGCCTTTAAAAGAAAGGACCAGGGGCGCCTGGGGGGCTCAGCTGATTAAATGTCTGACTCTTGATTTCAGCTCAGGTCGTGATCTTGGGCTTGTGAGATGGAGCCCTGCGTCTGACTCCATGCTGGGCGTGGAGCCTGCTTAGGATTCTCTCTCCCCTTTTCCTTCTGCCCCTCCCCAACTCTTAAAAAAAAAAAAAAGACCGGAAAGCAAGCAGGACTCTCTTGGTGTCTTGAGACTGTGTGTTACATGGTGAGGGGTAAGTTAGAGGGTATAATTTAGAGTGCCTTTACCCCCTGATTCTTTTCTGAGTACTTACTCAAAAACCTACCTTGAGGACAACCATTTTCTCTTTACTTGCTTTTATCCCTTCAAGCCTGGAAATAGAACAGCTCTTGGGTTTATCTTTAGAGACGGGCTGCGAGATTGAAACACAGGCTGTCCTGGGAAGTGCAGGGCATGGGGAGACCCGAACTGGTTCTTGCTTCACCGTGTACCCTTGGACAGATATCTTAAGCTCTTTGGACTTGAGGCACCCGGAGATCCCAGGAATAGACCAGTGCCGGCTGTGACTCAGGAGAGGGGGCAGACCACCTGCCTTGAGTCTTGGGGGCATTTGCGTTCGGCCTGTAACATGGCTATGTTTGCCCAATGTCTTCCCAGGTGCCATCAACTTCCTGCGTTCTCTCCTGGAACCAGATCCTGTGAAGAGACCCAATATCCAGCAAGCACTGGCGAACCGCTGGCTTAATGAGAATTACACGGGCAAAGTGCCGTGTAACGTCACCTATCCCAACAGGTAACCAAGTACACACAGAGTGGACCCCTTCTCAGGCCGGCTGGGGCTGCCTTAGGAGCCCCAAATCCTTCTAGACAGGAAGTGGTAGGTGATTTAAGGAAAAGCTGTGTTTTCTCGTGGCAGCCCACCCCCCCACTCCGTGCCCGCATACCCTCAGCACACGAGAGGAAGTGTAGATGGGGCCATTCCATGTGGTTGTGCCGAGTGTGCCGGCTTGGGACACCCAGCAGGGGTGGGTGGAGACCAGAATCTGTGCCACAGTCCCCTTGTCAGACTTGCCCTGGCAACTTGCATCTTCAGAGTGGCCCCTCTTTCTAATTCACACAAAGGAACCATTGAGACTAGCTGTGGCCTGAGTGAGTGAGTGTGTGTGTGTTTGAGTGCATCTGTGAGGGTATCTGGTTGTGTCTGAGTGTGTGTGAGATCCATTCCCGAGCCCTCCTGCCAGGCTCAGGCAGAATCCAGTGGGACGGTCCCTCTTCCCATTCAGACCACCCCTTGGGCCCTTCTGCTGCTGCCTCTTTGCTCCGATGTTGAGTTCCTGCTTAGAATGTTGGGGACAGGAAGAAAAGGCATTAGAAGGAGACAGTTGCTTCAGGCCATGTTTGCCTGTGAACTTCCTGTGAGGGCTTCCCCTTCGCAGCTTCCAAGAGGAGAACGCTTCAGGTGAGGCTTGCAGGCGGGGATCCACAGCGTGGAGACCCTGAGGGGCCCCTCCACACACGTCTCCACTGTTGCTGTGCTGACTACAGATTTGAAAACAAGTACAAGAAAACATTGCCTTTGCTTTCTGCCTACTCACTGGACATATTGTTAACTGCCCTGAGTGAAGGCACGAGGCCCCTCACCTTGGTTCGTTTACAGCAAACATGAAGACCACATGGGTCAAATACCTTCCAGGCCTGAGACCCGCACTCTAGGGCCTGGGCCTGGTCACTCTGGTCTGAAGCCCAGATGAGAACAAAGACTGCTGATGAAGGGGTACAGATATTTTCAAAATGTCCAGAAAGTTCTAGAAACATCCACCAAGCTGTAAGAAAGCTGTCGCACTGAGTTCTCCAAATTAGATGGGCAAGCAGGGCTCTGTCTTGGGGAGAAAGTTCCTAGAGAACTTAAGAGGCCACAGGTGGAGTCTGCCTCCTGTGCTACTGAGCCAAATTTACCCTCCCTGTGGCCGTAGATGAGGTGGTTTCACTCCATAGCGATCTAGAATTCTAGCAGTTGACTCTTGAGATGTAATGTAAGCAAAGTCTAGGTTACTTAGGTTACCAAGGGAACCTGGAAATAGATTGCTGGTTTCCAACACTACCTCCACTTGGCCCGTATCTGAAACAGACACCAGAAATATTACCTCAACGTGAGATGCAAAGCAAAGCCGAGGAGCCATGCCTCATTACCTGTGCTCGTGAAAGACGGCAGCACACAGGTGTGCTTTCCCTTAGAGGAGGGGGTGCTGGTGGCAGCCACATGAGTCATTAAGCTAATGTAATCACTGCCTAAATGAGCGTAATCAATCCACTCAGCATGGCAGCTGTTCAGAGGAAGCAGAGCTGGTATTGGAAATCCAGTCTCCCCCACTTTGTTGGCCGTATTGTCATTGACAAAGAATCATATCGTGGCGTCTCATACTATAGTTTCCCACGGGTGGTAGTCAGTATTTGTAAATTCAAACTTAAATGCAAGGATCCTCCACTGTTTTTTGCCAGGTGAGCAATTTTTTGCCTTTGGACTCTGGTCAGAAACATAAAGGCTGTCCATGAACTAGTTGGCCTGTGAAAATGGTTAAGATCATGTATATTAAAGAAAACAACCACTTGCTATTTTCTGTTTATACACGGCCCACTGCTCATTTTGTACCAGAGGCAAAATCATGTTCCATTTAAAAGTTTTAGATTTAAAGAAATTTAAAGAGATTTAAAGAAACTCTTGCAGGAGCTTGGTTTTTTAGTCTTGACTTTAAAAAATGGAAAAGGAAAAAAAAAAAAAAAAAAAGAAAGAGAAAGAAAGAAAAAAGAAAAATTAAAAAGAAACAGTGCTTTTGATAGTTATTTTTCTGGTTTGACCAGAGCACAGATAATTGGGGTCAGAGCGTGTGATCAGGGAAAGGAATACAGACTATATCTTAAAGTGTATTTTATAGCTTCCCAACAAGCCTAGCCTCAGATGTCATTATTTTAGATGTCGTTAAAATGTTTTACTTTTGGGAAAGAGCGAAAATACGGGGCTTATGTTTTATATCACTCTTCCGTAAAGCCTTCTGTTAAGTCATTTCGGCTTCCAAGTTGATCTCCAAAAGGCAAGAGGAAAGTATCTTTAAAAGTCAACTTTTTATAATAAATATTCATGCCAGCAGTCACCAGTTTGCTGTGCAGGGAGCCAGCCTCCCTGGGCTAGAAGCAGATATTTTCAGGGAGGTGACCTTGGCTGCCTTCCTCCATCGCCCTGCTAGAGCCTGGACAGTCTCCCACCATCCACTTAGCTCTGGGGGTGGGTGGGAAGGAAAGGAAGTCATTGGCTAGTGTTCTGGAACATTTTACTAGGGTCTATATCGTTCAAACATGGGGAGATAGTAAACAATTAAATAACTGATATTGCAGACTTCCAAATATACATGTTGCTTACTGAAAATGTTTAGTACTCCCAGTCAGTGGAGTCGACAGAGCTCTCCTGTTTCTGAGGACAGGAGATATGAAGGGCAGAGATGGGGTACCTGACCCTGCTTACTGCCCCCTTCTCACCTCCATCCCCCAACCTCACCCTGGAGGCATCCCTCTTCCTGATCGCTATCCCTTCCTGGGCTTGCTCTGTGTAGAGGGCGGGGTATGGGACGTGCTGCCGAGGATGGCACGGTGGTTGATTGGCCAGGGGCGGCTCATGTACCCGCGATCTGATTGGCCAGGGGTGAGGCCATGTGGCCGTGCTCTGACTGGCCAAGAACTAGGTACAGGGCCGTGGTCTGATTGGCCAGGGGCAGGGCCACGCCCACACAGGCATTGCTGGGTAGTTTCCAAAATGGAGCCTTCTGCTTTAGTAAGTGCTTTGTCAAAGTTCAATTGCATTCTTTTTAAACAAACGTTATTGTTATTATTATTATTTTTTTTTACCACTAGTCATTCCTACCCCCCTCCCATCCATTATCGAGAATTTGATTTTGTGGCCAACAAGGAGGGGAGGGCAGATTTTGTGGTTCCTTGGGTGCATTCTCTGAATGGCACTTACGTGTCTAGCGAGGGAGTGTGCAGCCATGGGTTACACCGATGTGGGGTGGAAGGTGGGCCGGCGGACCGAGGTCTGCTCTTGCCCCCCTTTTCAGCTGGTCTGTAAATTCGGCAAGTCAGTTTCCTCTTCTGTATCATTATGGACTTGTTCTGTGTGGTTTCTCGGGGTGTTATGGTCTGAGGTCCCATGAAAAGTATCCTGGGACCCTTGGCGGAAGGTTGGTGGGCTACAGAGCTCTCTGGCCGGTTGTGCTTGCCTTCTGCTCAGACTGCCCTATGTATAGCTCTCTTAAGGGATTTAGAGTGTTCTAGTTGATGATGTACCCCCGCTACCCTCGCACACGTGCTACACTCCCCAGCCTGCTTGCTTGTTCTCTGTAGCCCTTCCTCGTGTCTGTCTATTTGAAAGCTGCTGAGTGTAGAGGTTTAGCATCCAGACTCCGAGCCAGACTCTATCTGAGGGTGCGCTCCTCCTTGCCTGTGGGAGCCCGGGGCAGTGCATTTCACAGCTGCGGGCCTCAGTGTGTCCCGTCTGTAACATGGGGATCATCATAGTACCCACTCATAAGATTTTCATGAAGAATAAATGAACTAATGTCGTCTGTTTCCTACTGGAATGTTGGCTCCACGAGACAGGGACTTGTTGAAGGAATAAATAAGTGAATGAGTGGATAAGTAGATAAATGAGTAACAAGCTTTCAGTTTTAACTAGGGAGTTTATCTTCATAATACTTCTGTGAAGAAGCTCTAACTTGTCCTCCCAGAGCACCCTCCTTTACACCCGAGCCCCTATTTCCCTCTGTGAATGCGGGATCTCACACTGTTCCTTTAAACACAGTATGGTTTGGCTCGTGAATGTGCTCCTTTCCGAGCCCAGCTTACACCCAACTCAAGTGTGGGCTCTATACCTGTGTCCAATAAACACATTTTTAGAAAAGACTGCCAGATTGTAAGAAATTCGAAGCTCATTGGGAAAATTTGAATATAGTCTAGATATTAGAGAATACTAAGGATTATTACAAATTATTAAATTATTGAGTATATGGATGACATTGTGATTCTGCAGGAGATGTCCTTGGATCTTAAAGGAGCACACTGGGGTGTGTAAGAATGAAAGGTCACGATGTCTGTGACTTAAAGTGCTTGAGCACTAAATAAACAAGTAAATAAATGAAGAAAATAGGGCAAAGTGTTAACAGTGGTGTGTTCTGGTATTGGGTACACAAAGGTGATTTATAGTCTTCTTACTAACTTTCTGTCTGTGTGAAATTGTTCATAATAAAAAAGATCAAGTGAATGAATGGACAGGTGGATGGATGGACACGATTGTCCATTGGGGCCCTGGTTGGTGGGGGGGCAGTGGGTGCTCTGTGCCGCCATGTTTGTGAGCATCGCTAAGGGGGCCCTGGATCTTCTCAGTGGAGGTGGAGAGGTGACCGGTGTTCTCTTTGCTGGGCAGGATTTCCCTGGAGGACCTGAGCCCGAGCGTGGTGCTTCACATGACGGAGAAGCTGGGTTACAAGAACAGCGACGTGATCAACACTGTGCTCTCCAACCGCGCCTGCCACATCCTCGCCATCTACTTCCTTTTAAACAAGAAACTCGAGCGCTATCTGTCAGGGGTGAGTGGGGCCCTCGTGGCAATTTTCTCTGCTCTCTGTGGAAAAAGGAGCTCTTAAACCTGGAGTGTTTCTCAGTTGCTGACACTTGATCTGAGCTGTTAATTTGAACTAATGGGAGGCTGGGTTTCTGAATGTGGGATAAAGTAGTAGCAAAACCTGCTTCTCAGGTGGCTGGTGCTTTTTATCTGAGGTGTTTTTCAAACATCCTCCCACAGAGTTAACCCCCTGGGCGGCACCGGTAGACATTCAAGCCACTTTCCCCATTCAGTTTCTGTGTTGCCTTCTCTGTCTGCCTCTGGGTATCTTGGGTTCCCGTGTTAAAGGCATCGGGGACTTCTGTGGTCATAAAAGTTGGGGAGCAGTGCCTCTCAGGCATTCATCTCTAAAGCATGGTTTATGAGGAGGCCATTATTTATATGTACTTCTCTAGAAAGTAAAAAGGACTCATAAGATTTTCATGAAGAATAAATGAACTAATGTCGTCTCATTATGAACTAATGTCTCACCCCGTGAGAGTCACCCTTCATGACAGTGCTATTTAAAGTCACGTGATAGACAACCCAGTGTTCCGCAAAACTCTGCTAAACAATAGGCTTTGAAACCTTTTGTGAGGTTTCTGTATTAGGGCTAAAGACGATAATCTGCCTAGAACTGGGGAGATGATATTCCCCTGCCATGGCAGAAAGGACCACGCGATAATGCCCAGAAGACAAGACGGTCAGAGTGTATCTCTTCAGCAAACAGATTTGGGAGATGTCTAGAAAACATTGCTGGATCAACGAAGAAGCTCATTGGGAGGTTTGTCAGACAGTTGGCTGAGACTGCAGATGTTTCTAAGCTGACTCAGCTTGGGGAATTTGCTAGACTTTGCTCCAGCGGGAAATTATCCACAGAAGTACTTCTTGGGTGAACCACCAAAGGAGAGATGTACACAAGGGGAAGCATTCTCAACAGTGAAAGGCTTTTAAAAATAAGAACAGGGTTTTATGGAGGGGAAGAAAACATGCTTTGTGTAAGCAGTGATGGGATGATGCTTCTGATGGGGACAAATACTCAGCTTTGAGAGTGGATGTTAGAGATGGTGTCACCATTGCAGGAAAGCTACTGTAGGAGAGGAGTGGAGGCCAGAAAGACAGGACCCTTGACACAGTATTTTTTTTTAATTAAGATTTATTTATTTATTTGGGAGAGAGCGAGAGCGCACACATGAGTGCATGTGCAAATGCTGGGGTGGGGGGCAGAGGGAGAGAGTCTTAAGCAGAGTCCATGCTGAGCCCAGAGCCCGTGGCAGGGCTTGACCTCACGACCCTGAGATCAGGACCTGAGCCGAACCTAAGAGTTGAACACTTAACCGGCTGTACCACCCAGGTGCTCTGACACAGTATATTTTTTATATCATTTTATTATGTGATAAGGAGTAAGAAAACCTCTTGTACCCTGCCCAGTTCTCTGCTCTCCCATAATGATGTATCTAAGAGATATTGGACTTAAAGGTCCTTCCCATTTCCTTTTTATAAGAAGACCACATGCCCCATGTTTCTTATCTTATCCTTTTAAATTCCTATTTGATATATATTTTATCATGTATGTGATCTGTTAGTACAGTGGTACATGCTTATAGTTACAATATGCATATATTATAGGTGCCTTTGTATATCTTTTTCACTCAGATGAGTTCAAGGTCACACCGTCTGGGGACCACTGTGGTAGAAGATAGTAGTTAAGAATTTAAATAGCTGTTGGGACGCCTGGGTGGCTCAGTTGGTTAAGCGGCTGCCTTCGGCTCAGGTCATGGTCCCAGCGTCCTGGGATCGAGTCCCACATCGGGCTCCCTGCTCAGCAGGGAGCCTACTTCTCCCTCTGCCTCTGCCTGCCACTCTGTCTGCCTGTGCTCACTCTGACAAATAAATAAATAAAACCTTTAGAAAAAAAAAAAAGAATTTAAATAGCTGTTTGGTGCCTGGGGGGCTCTGTTGGTTGGGCGAGTGCCTTCGGCTTAGGTCATGATCCCGGACTGCTGGGATCGAGTCCCACATGGGGCTCCAAGCTCCATGGGGAGTCTACTTCTCTCTCTGACCTTCTCCCCTCTCATGTTCTCTCTCAGATAAATAAGATCTTAAAAAGAAAAAGAATTTAAATAGCTGTCAAGTAAGAGGAAGAAAAGAGGAGCAACACACTGATTTTTTTTTTCAAATGATGACTGTTGTTCAAAAATTAGTTTTTAGAAAGTGTCTCCCTGAAGCTGACTATCGAAGTCACAGTTCTATATTTAAAGGCTGAAATTGCTACTTTCCTAAACAAGCTAGCCGACTCAAACGTTATTTTGGCAGAACTTGTTTGGACGCTGATCGATAAGATGGAGGGACTTTGGAGGTTTTTTGTTTTGTTGTTGTTTTTTTAAAAGATTTTATTTATTTATTTGACAGAGATCACAAGTAGGCAGAGAGAGAGAGGGAGAAGCAGGCTCCCTGCTGAGCAGAGCCCAATGCGGGGTTCCATCCCGGGACCCTGAGATCATGACCTGAGCCAAAGGCAGAGGCCCTACCCACTGAGCCACCTAGTCACCCTGTTTTGTTGTTTTTTAAAGATTTTGTTTTTAAGTAATCTCTATACCCAACTTGGGGCTCGAATCACAACCCCAAGATCGAGAGTCGCACACTACTGACTGAGCCAGCAAGGCACCCCAAGGGACTTTATTTTTAATTTTTTTTAAAAGATTCATTTACTTATGTTTAGACAGAGAGATTGAGTGAGTGAGCGTGCACCATGAGCAGGGGTGGGGCAGAGGGAGAAGGAGAGAGAAAGTCCCAAGCAGACTCTGCACTGAGTGCAGAGCCCAACACAGGGCTCGATCTCACAACCCTGAGATCATGACCTGAGCCAAGACCTAGAGCCTGGCACTCAACCCCCTGAGCCACCCAGGTGCCCCGGGTCTTTAGTTTTTAAAATATTTTCTTTCTGCTGCCTGCCTCCGTATGTACAGATACCAATTTCGGTGACTCACGCTCTTCTTAAACAATCACTGAAGCTCTTTGGCTGTGTCTTGATTTGTCTTTGTTTCTTGCCATCTGCTTGGTTCTGCTCCTCCGCTCTACCCAGCGTCGGGGTGGCACGCAAGTGTTGCGAAGCTGAGCCCTGCTCTGTCTCCCGAGAATGTTCTATGGAAACTCAGCGAATGTGCTTCTCGCTGGAGAAGGTTTTTATTGTATGATGTCTGTTTGGCACTTGTTCCTTCAATCATAGCACCTACCTGGTCTGAGAATCAGTGTCTAAGCAAGGGGCTGATTTTAACCAGAGTGAATTAATCCCCGCAGACAGCTACAGCTGGTCCGCTCCACAATTTCCGCACACGGCTGATTTAATTGCACAGAATGCACTGTCCCAGCTATTAATCTCATCAACCAATTACTAACAAGCCTTGTATAATTTAAAAACCGAAACCAGTGAACTCAAAAGTAAAATACATACTTTGATTATTACTTAATTATTGGTCGTTTCTCCCTTTCTCTCTTGGTTCTCATCTCTTCTTCGTAGAACCAAGAAGCGCGGACTTTGTGTTGGAGCCTGTAAGGCCATTCCGTGAAAATTTGTTGGTTAGTAAACCAATTAGTCATGTAATTTACCCATCTCCAGGCAGGATTGGACCTCCATCGTGCACCTAGATTATTTTAGATATAGTTGGCCGTCGTCTTTAAGCTGTATTATGAATTGCTGTGAATCACGGGGGGAGGGGCAGATGCGGCTCACTGTTTTTCAATAAAGCCAATAAACAAGGTCCCTGTCCTATTTCATGGTTCCATAACATAAGTTATTCTTTCTAGCTCACATACTTGGTTTCTGCTTTCACATCTTAGAGCAGCCTTCATCATGCAGGTGAAAAATCTGAGACCAGCCCGGAGCGGAGACGTGCCCAGGGTCAGCAGGAGGAGGCTGCCTGACTCTGGGTCTGGGGCTCCCCCCTTCGCGGCATCCCGCCTGCCTGCCCTCCTCAGATGAGGCTTTGCATCGCAATGAACTGGCTTGCCAGCCGCTTTTAACACTTGTTCCGCCAAGTGCTGGCTGAAAAATTAATGACTGCTTAATGGACATTTCTGTTTCCTGTGGGTTAAACCGTGCTTTCCCCCCTCTTCTCGTCTGATAGAAATCTGACATCCAGGACAGCATTTGCTACAAGACGCAGCTCTACCAGATAGAAAAGTGCAGGCCGGCCAAGGAGCCCTATGAGGTGAGTGACCCCCAAAGCAAAAGCCAGGATCGCTTAGAGTGGATTTCCATTTGGAGAGCAGAATGGAAAGGAAACCAAGGACGGTGGGACACAGAAGCAGCAAAAGACAAATGCTTCCTGGCTTAACTGAGCCCCGAAAAATGGTTTCCAGTCAAGCCACCATCTCTCAGTCGTCAGACTGTGGTTCTCAGCTGTGGCCACATTGTTAGACTCACTGGGGAGCATTTAAACATCTGGGTGTGTGGACTGCCCCCACAGACCCCCCACTGAAGCTCATGGGGGCAGGAATCAGCGGGCGGTGGGGTGGCGGGTTCTGTATTTTTTTAAAGCTCCCTGGCTGACTCCATTGAGTGGCCAAGGTCGGAAACCATTGTCAGGACTTCAGAAGGCAAAAATAGATGCTCAAAAAGGTACATGAGTGTAACGCTTGGCATCGGAAGGAGATAGTAAATGAGGGACAGAAAAAGTTTTGGATGAAACCAAGTTTTTCCAGGCACCTGTTCCTGGCAACTTATTGCTACCCAGTACATATCTAAGAGAAAACACTGAGATTCTCCGATTTCAGAGAAAAACTGGTATCGTATGGCAAGTTGTACCAGTTTTGGACGCGATATATGTGCTTGTGAAGAGACTGTGCCTGAAAAGCTGGATCTGGGGTCCCGGGGCCCGAGCTGAGGTCACCCCCACCCACTCGTCCCGGACTCCTCGCTTGGTGCTTTGTCAAATATAGCTCCTCTGCCTTCTCACTGATTTTCCTGGGAATCTGCTTGCTTTTCCCCCAGGAGCCTCCGCCATATGCCCCCAGAATGTTTTCATTTAAGGAGAGATCAAATCGGAAGCCTTCCTCATGCCAACGGGCCTGCCCCCTTCCTCTTCCCTTTTTGGACTCAGTTTTCCATCCTCATGATTGCACGAGCTGGGCCTGTCACCACGGAAGGAAGTTCTGGGTTGTTCTTCAGTGAGGGTGGGTGGTAACTGAACACCATTCCGGGCTCATTGGCTGCGACAGAGAGCACCTGGGGCATGGCCCAGGCCAGTCTGGTGACATGGGTGACACAGAGCCGAGCTGCCAGGCACCACTGTGACAGGAGCCCAGGGAAGGCCACCCCTGAGCGTCAAGGCAGAGCAGAATGGCAGGGCTATCCCGTCTAGGCAGAACCTAGGGGGCGGTGAGATTGAGGGAGGTGCGGATGGGAAGGCACCCGTGGCTGAGGAACCGGCAAGGATGACAGGGGTGGCCGGGGGGCGTGTAGGAGACGCTGCCAGGAATGGCGCGGAGGAGACCACGGGAGAGGCCGAGTGTAAAATGTTTCGTGGTGTCAGCTGAGCTGTTAGTTAGACTCTGGCGGGGTCAGTAGACCAGCCCACGGAAGTGGCAGAGGCAGAAAGAGATTTCATGGGCTCCAGAAGGGGAGGGAGGGAAGTGAAGACAGTGAGGGTAGACCTCTCTGCTGCTGACATTGGCTGTGAAGAGAAGGAGAGGCCGTGTGGGTTGGGAGGAGTGAGGGTGGGGAAGTTGGGAGGAACTCCAGGGATGGCTGGGGGTGGGAGGGCTTAGCCTTGACCCTGGGCTGTCTTCCTCTGAGACAGGCTGCAGTGCCAGCGTGATAAGGGGTGCAGGTCAGCTTTTGGGGTGGGGGTGCTCCGGGGCTGAGCCCCAAGCCGGAGCACGGCTTTCAGGCTGAGGGCAGGGGGGCGCAGGTGGTGTAGGGGACAGACTCCCCTGAGCTCCAGACCCCTCTGGCTGGTTGTTTACTAACCCTCCTCCTGCATGAGCAAAGGTGTCCCCAGTCCAGCATGCCTGGAACTGCCCCACCCCTGTGTCCCTCTGCAGGTGACCGCCCACACTCAGTGTAGGGCAGAAACACAGGAGTTGCTCTTCCTGGCCCCCCTGCCAGCTTGACACCTAAACCTCTCAAACCCCATCCGCCCCTCCGTCTCGACCCTCCCACCCCCCATCCAGACAGCACCGCCTCTGGCCTGGATGTTGGCCACAGTCCTCGCTGGTCACCCCCTTTCCCATGAATGCCTGCCTCTCGCTTCTCGGCATGCTAGCCAGAGCCAAGCCATCCATATTCAGATGGGATCACTTCCCTGTTCCAAGCCTTTGAAGGCTTCCTTCACCTGGAAGACAAAGTCAGGGACACAGCCGCCACATTTAACTTGTCCCCCAGACCTTCACACGCAGCCCCGGTTCCTGCTGTGGGCTCAGACCCACGGGACCTTCAGACTTCTGTGCTCTCCTGGCTCCCAGCGCTATGCATTCCCTGTTTCCTTCTTCCAGAACGTTCTCATCACCTCTCTTTGCTGATTGATATCTTCTGTCTTCAGATTCCAACCCCTGCCATTCTCTGGCTTTTGCCATTGGGTCCCCTCTCTCTACAGGCTGTCACACTCCATTCCACGTCCTGGAACTTGTCCCATTTGCACGTTCTGTTGCTCAGGGAGTGTTTGACTCATGTCTATCTCCCACTCTGGACTGTGAGTTCATTAAGAGCAGGGAGTGTCCCTTTTGCTGCCCAAGCCCTAAGGCAGGGAGGCACATCCAGTCGCTTGCTCTGAGGGTTGTTACCTCAACTGGGGTGCAGAGGATTCAGAATTCACCATGAGGCTCCCTTGCCTCTTGGTCTGCATTTGACTCTTGAGGGACTCCAGTAACAACATATCCAGTGCCCCATGTGTGTGCCCTAAGTGGCCTCCGAGTCACCTTGCTGATGCCCGTGTCCTTGGTCGCCCTTGAACCTGACCCCTGCGATTGTTTGTTTGAAAGCATCTGTGATGGGAAAACGGCCTTTTTTTTTTTTTTTTCCACCCAGATTATTTTTCTCGGATGATTATCTCATTTGGCCTGAAAACACATGGCGAGTGTTTTAAACACTTGTTGAAACATTTACTGGTTAGGGTTTCAATAGGAACGCTAATGGAAAAAGAGCATTTCAATTTTCTATGAGCCATTTGTTTTCTCCAAACAGCAGCCATACCTGTACTAATTAAATTACAGGCCGTTACAAGTTACAAGATTGTCTCACCCGCCTCTATTGGAGCCCAGAGCGTGGAATGGGGCCAGTTAGAAAGCGTGTTCAGAAGAGCTGAAGGGGCCCAGGGTTTCTAGATAAAGCCCCCTTGGAGCCTTTGTGAGCCTCCTTCCAGTCGCCATCCGCTGGTCCAGGAAAAGCTGCGGGGAGAGGGATGGGTTTCAGGTCATGCACTAGCTGGCACCGGGGTGGCTCGGGGGTGGCTCGGGGCCATGTCCGTGTCCTGGGAGCGTGCGTGGCCTCTTTGTTCTTCTCGGCTCCAGTTCTGTTTCTCCTAGGAGACAAAGGAGCAGAATTAAGCTGGAATAATTTCCCCCTTGGGATTACAGGGCTGTTCTTGGACGACTTCCCCACCTTTCTCCTCCTCCTCTAACTTTAAAAGATGGCAAATATGTTTGTAAAAGTGGGACATCTGTCTCACCTTAGAACACCTCGAGCATGTGCCCCAGGGACTCCTCTTTCTAAAAAAAAAAAAAGAAAAGAAAAGAAAAGCTGCCCTCAAGGACCAAGGGCCGTGGAGGTCAAGGAGAGGCAGCCATCACACTTAAACTGGCTTCTTAAAGCTGCAGAGAACCAGATGCCACCTTTGTTAAAATCGCTCATGTGCAGAGCAAAGTCAGCTCTGGCTGGAGGGCTCCTCTGTGGCGCAGAGCCATGGGGCAGCCTGGGAAGGACGCTGTGTGGGGGGTCACAGAGGGACCGGACCCGTGTGCGGGGGGCTGCTGTCACAAAGCATCACACAGGGTGCTCAACAGCGAGGATTCGCTGTCTCTAAGTTCTGGAGGCCAGAAGTCCAGGCCTAAGGTTGGTTCCCTTCGAGGGCAGTGAGGGGAGAACCTGCCCCGTGCCTCCTAGCTATGGGGGGTTACCAGGATCTTCGGGGTTCATTGACTTAGAGCACCACTGAAATCTGCCTGTGTCTTCACCTGCTCTTCTCTGTGTGTGCGTCTCTGGGTCCAGTTTCCCCCATTTAATGAGAATCCCAGTCCCATCGCAGTGGGGCTGGATGACCTCCGTAAAGGTGACTCCCCAACAGGCCCCCTCCTCAAAGGCAAAGGAGAATGCGCTTTCACACGCTCCTATCCCCCAAGCATCAAAGGGGACATGATCGGCCTGTCCTGACCCTGTCTTCCAAGAAGGTCTCATTCTGAGATCCTGGGGGTGAGGACTCCAGTGTATGAACTTAGGGGGAATGCAATAAAACCCATCACAGGGGCAGTAAGTTTAAGGGGAAAATACTAAAACTTTCCCTTGGTGTCTTGTTTCAAATCTATGCAACTTGTAAAAATAAAGTGTGGAATCAAATCAGACACTCCGTGCTGTTGGAAATTGGAGTTGTGGTTACCTTTGGGGACTGGGAGAGGACACGGGTGGGGGTACAGTTGGGTTCTGTATCTTGGTCTGGGTGCTCGTTCCGTGTGTGTTTTTACTCTTGGAGAAAATGCATTGGTTGAACCACTCCCTTGCTGTTAGAGCACTCCTCCGTTATGTGTCTTAGACTTTAATTAAAAACTTAGCTAGAAAACCTACTCAGTGCATGACCTGGAGCATCTGCTACTTTCGTGGTGATTTAAGAGTTTGGCTTCTTGTCTCTAAACATGGAAATGAATAATTCTCAGCCAGAACTGCAGGTGGTAGGGGATAGAGTTTAGGGGATAAACAGCAGGTGCAGTTTCTAAATTGTTGAAAATGTTGCTTTTCACAGGCCTCCCTGGACACCTGGACAAGAGACCTTGAATTTCATGCTGTGCAGGTAAGAACTTGGGGGTTATGATGAATTCGTCTAAGTTCTCCAAGGAGAACCAACAGAGTGTGTGTGTGTGTGTGTGTGTGTGTGTGTGTGTGAGAGAGAGAGAGAGAGAGAGAGAGAGGGAGAGAGATGCTTGGATACCAAGAGAAAAATGGATGTTTCAGCTCAGTCCCAAGGCCTTCTGGAAGCAGAATTCCTTTTTCCTCAGGACACTTCAGTCTTTTTCCTCTTACTGCCTTCAACTGATTGCACAAGGCCCACCCACATTGTGCAGGGTCCTCTGCTTTACTCAAAGCCTACTGATTTAATCGCATCTGAAAAGTAACCTTCACAACAACATCTGGACTGCTGTTTGACCAAACACTGGGTGCCATGGCCTAGCCAAGTCAACACTTGAAATTAACCATGACATATGACCCTGAAGGTTGAGGGATCTCTCTGCTTGGGGCCATCTGGATTCCACATCCCCTCCCCCCATCCCAGTCTGGAATTAAAATGCAGAATCCAGTTGTGAGTGGGTTTATCAGAATCCCCTCAGATCAGACTGGTGCTTTCTAGGTTTAGTTGACTATTTTTTATTGTCTTGCTGTAACTCTATACTTGGCTATGCGTTTATGTCTCTACCTGCATGAGAAGTGGGCTGTGCGATAGTCCAGAGCTTCCATGGCCTAATTTATGAACCAAGCCCTCTTTTTCTCAACTCTGTTGTGTTTGTTCTGTGGCAAAATCAGATCTCTGTGGCTTTCCCAAAGCAACCAGCAAGTAACACCTGGGCCCCTGGGCCATCCCAGCGGAAGGTCACCTTGTTACTCCCACAGGAGCAGAGCTGAGGAGGAAAGGGAAGAGGTCCTGCTCTTTGAAAGGCAGGAGGCTGGAGTCACAGGGACAAGTCTCAAGGGACCAGTGCTGGGGCTCAGATCTCAGAGGCTAAGGACCTCCTTTTTCCTCTTCCTACTCACTGTCAGGCCTGCAGACCGCTCCTTCCAGAAGCCCGGTGCACCATCACGCACTAGCTGCTTTCTCTCTTCTCTGAAACAGTCCTGGCACTAGAAGAGTCTTGGGTAGACCCTCCTTTATGATGCCACATTTTCAAAGTGTCCAGTTTTATAAACGTCCGCTCACTTGGGCAGTGGGTAGAAAGTGGTTTAAAGAAAACCAGGAGGTTTGTACGGGGCTTGCTTCTGGGTCCTCTTGGGGTCCCCCTCTCTGATCTGCCTTGGGGAGTTCGATTGCGGTGGGGGTGGGTGGTGTGGGTGGGGGGAGCAAGTGAGAATCAGAAGAAAACCAAAGAGGCCGCGCAGGCAGCAGCATCGCTGGGAGGGGAGCGCGGGAGCGGGTGTGGGCATGTCGAAGGGGGAACATAATGAGTCCCTCTGAAGATCTGTTTCTGTTACATAAAGCAGTTTCGCATCCTGTTCCCTAGATCTCTTGTGGAGAAAATAGGGCATGCAAATGAAAAGGTATAATTGGATGATTGGTAGCATTCGGTCACCTGCGCTTGGAGGGCGCTGAGATTGGCTGGTGACATGCAAACACGTCCCTCATGTGGGCTGTCGACCATCCACACAGATCGATCGGGCAGTTTATCCCTGGCAGAGATCTGCCGGACTCTGAATTCTTGGTATCCCCCCAGGAAACTGGTCACCATGAAATCACCCATTCTTCTAGGCTGGAGAAGGGCGTCCTGGGGCCTTTGGAAGAAACACTAGGGTGTAGGGTCCTGGGATTAGGTTCAACAGGGTGGCCCGAGCAGGTGTCCTTATTCCATTTCCCCCCTCCTTTGACCCCCCCCCATAGCAGCTTTCTGTTTGGTGCCAAATATCCCTTCGTCAGTTACCAGAGAGATTTCTAGAGCCAACCTTGGGTTCTCTCTGCAGAAAACTCATGCCTCTCCATGCTAATGAACTCTGGTTAAGTGGTGTTGCTGGGGCCCAGAAACTTTGCATCTTGACTTTTCAGCTTTTGAGAAGCCAAAGAGAGCTGGGGAGGAGCTAAAATGAAGCCATGAAACCAAGCAGCCCTCTAAAGAGTAGGGTCCCAGAGCAGCCCAAAGGAAACTGTACTCATTGTAGACCAGTCCTGAAAAGGAGGGAACGCCAATCTTGTCTTTCCTTCCAAACACTGTTTTACAGTGTTTCATAGAAGTGCATTTGATTGCCTTTTTGCTGTTCAGAGTGTCAACAGTGGACCTGGTGACTTTCCTCATAAAAACAGTAGAAAGAACAGTGTGAGAGGAGGAAATTTTGCCAGACTTTTTAGGACAAGCCTCTCATGTGCCCTTTGATGTTTGGGGCACGGGGGCGTGTGAAAGCTTGCTCCCCTTTGCATTAGAGAAGGGGTTGTTGGTGTTTCATTGAAACAGGGAGAGTGAAGCAGTAAAGAACCGTGGCCTTGACCGAGATGGGCTGGAGCAGGCGACCCCCTCTTTCCACTCAGTAATATTCTGCATTGGGACCTGGAGCACAAGCCTTCTCTGTGCCATCCCCAATGCTGACCTGAAGCCTGGGGACCACAGCTCAGTCCTTGTCCCTCGCCAGCCCCTGTGTCCCGCTCTTTCTCTCTCCTGGCCCTGCCCCAGGCTTCCAGAGGGCCTGCAGTGGCAACGGGAGAGAATGATCACTCTCTGGGCTCCGCCTCTCCTTTCTTCCCACCTCGGCCCTACACTGGTGACAGCCACGTGGCCCTCACGGAGACCACCAGGCTCAGCATGGCACCCCCACTTTCAATTCCTTCCCTCCCATTTTCAGAGTGGGCGTAATGAACCCCACTCTGGAGAGGCTTTGAAAATCCTCATCAGAAAGGGCCTTCCAAGGCTTCCTTACAAGCTTTTCAACAACACCCATGAAAAATGGATGAGCTCTCTTGAATTGCAAATGCTCTCAACACTGAAGGCAAAAATGCAAAACTGTCTTTTTTTTCCCCCTCCCTGGTGGTGAGGTCAGGGACTCTGTTAAATGGTAAACATCAGACACTCTTCAGGGCCAGAGAAGGAACTCCAGAGCCGTATCACTCCCTTCTCAGAAGCTTGAACTCGATTTTAATTCAGTTCGGTTTTCACTGGCTTTTTTAAAATAAACATTTCAATAACTATTAAACCTTCTCTGTATGTCTGGCTTTATGCCAGAGGCTGTGGGGTGGAAGATACGTAAAATAGAAAACTTCACTCCCGTCAGAGGGATCCTGGTAGAGTTCAGGGAAGGCAAGACTTCGAGCAAAAATGGCTAAATAGTGCCAATGTTAAGCGCGCACGCGAGGGCGTGAGTGACCAAGGGTGGGCACGGGTCAGAAACGCCCAGGGCGGCTCAGGGCTCCCGCCTCCTTGGCTTGACTGAACACACAGGAGTAGAGATGGGGATGGAAGTGGTTGTGTCTCCTCTGTGGGCTGAATCTGAGGGCCCTGCTTTAGATAAGTGAAGAGATTTCCAGAAGTCCTCATGGGCGTGTTCATTCAGCGTGTTCTGGAACCACTGACCTCCTCAGGGTGACCTTGCCCTTGCTGGAACACCTCTAAACAATGCCATGCAGGGAGCTGGGGGTGATGGAAGCTGGCTTGTGGGCCCCGGGGTGGGGTGGTATGGCAGGGAAGGGGGCTTCCCCGGAGCGTCTACAGGGCCCTGGCTCTTGCGACATTCATCGTGCAGTTGAGAGCAGAGTTTTGGGAGGCTGGGCTGTCTCAGATCTCCTCGGAGATCTGTGTGTGTCTGAGTCCATGTGTTTACTTCTGACTTGAAGGATGAAAAGCCCAAAGAACAAGAAAAAAGAGGAGATTTTCTTCATCGGCCGTTTTCCAAGAAGCCGGACAAGAACGCGCCCACGCACAAACAGCCCTCGGCCTCTCTCATCACGCAGATTCAGAACACGAAAGCGCTGCTGAAGGACCGCAAGGCCCCCAAGGCCGGCTTCCCTGACAAAGGTAGGTCAGCTCGGGCTACGGGCTGGATCCCTTGTGTTTCAAGATGCATGGTCGCTGCGTACCCCTCATGGATGGCTGTGTGGGCCCCTGGGATACAAGTGATTATTGTGCCCGTGGGAAGGCAGGGAGCACACCAAGGGAACCTGAGAACCATCAAGGTCCAGACCGTGCGGTATTGGCTGCCTATGAAGGCAGGCTTTGAGACAGCGGGGTGGTGGGGGGAGGTGGTTGCACTGTATTGTGGGAGCAGAGACGGGGTACATGGTATCGTGGTTGGGAGCAGAGATCAGGGAACAAAATATTCCAGCAGCAGAGACTGGGATGCAGGAGTAGAGACGGGGGTGCCCAGTGTTGTGGAACAAGGGACAGGTGTTCAGTATTATAGGAACAGAGATCGGGGTGCAGGGCACGGTGTTGAGAGAGTGTGCACAGGAGAGAGCCCGGTAGAGGCTCTGAAGCCTGGTCGATAGAGTCTGGGCTCTGGGCTGCGGGTGGGGGCCTCAGACCCCTGCTCTGTTGGCTTCTTGTGAGCTAAGATCCTGACCCTCAGAGGATCCAAATTCGTTCCCTTGGGTAACTGATAAACACAAGTTTCGCTCCTCCGGGACAGCACGGAGAGGTGTGGAAAGCGAGGGGCGTGGGGGGCGGGAAAGTGTTGGAAAGATTCAAAGAGCTCCGAGCAGTGGGGCTGTTCCCCTAGGAGAGACCTGGTTCTCAGCCGGGGAGGAAAGTTCCACTGGATTCAGTTTCATTCTTGAGCTCGCAGAAGGCAGGGGATCTCTCTGGGTGGAGCTCTGTTTGTCCCCCCTTAGTGCTTCTGCTCTCTGGCGTGGTCACCAGCAGCGAAGTCGGGCCCTTGATGGTGCTCTCTCGTGCTTGTCCCCAAGAAAGTCTAGGTCAGTGCTGATACTTTGGAAAACTTTGCCACCCTTGAGGTAGATTCCATGCCTGGTAGTTTCCTCGGCCCATCATCATTGGTTTCTTTGCATTTTTCTTCCTTCGCCCTGAGGCGTCTGAGAGCCTGGCAGGTCGCAGTCGTTAGCACTGAGCACGCGCTGTGTGGCGGACCCTGTTTCAGGCTCTTAGCTCACCCCAGTGAGCTTATTCTCACCCTCCTCTCTAGAGCAGAGGAACCAGGCACAGGGAACTGTGCAAAGTCAGAGAGCTGGTGAGCAGCAGAGTCCAGATTTCCCGGTGGGCCGCCTGGCTCTAGAACTTTCTCTCCTGACCCGTGTAGCCGCCTGCCTCCTGATGAGGATGGATGAGGAGGAGCCAGCCAGAGCGCTCACAGGGTGGGGGGCTGGGGAGCAGGCCCTTGCTGAGGGGGTGGGAGGGTAATGCAGTGTGCGGGTGACTTCCAGGTGACTCTGGGCTGGAGATGAGCAGGGCGTGCGTGGGAGTCCTCACAGGCTCTGCATCTCCGGGGAAGTGGAGGACACAGGACTGGGCAGAGGAGGGGGACCACGGGCCACCAATTAGGAGCCCACGGCCATCGCAGGGAGGGGTGGGGAGAGGAGGGGATGCTTGCATGCTGGCTGGCCCACCGGGCACGTCAGCCGTTGGTGAGAATTTGCTTGTCTCCACCGGCGGACCTCAGGCATCTGTGGTGGCCCGAGGAGGAGATTTATTCGGGATCTGCGATTTATTTATGTGAGGCGAAGAGGATGCCCGGCGGCCTCGGCTGCTCGAGAATCACTGCTTGATCCTGCGGCTGAGGCTTGACGGGGGCCCGTAAAGCCTGGTGGCAGAGAAGGGACGCTGAGGCCGGCCTTGCTCCACAGGAACTTGGCCTGATTGCCCTGCACTTCAAATTTGGGGGGGTTCCCTTTCTTTCTGGCCCCGTTTGCAAACCTGGATTCCAGGCTGGGCCTGCTTGAGGTGGAAACTGTGGGGACTCGCCTGTGGCCTTCGGTGTGTAGACGAGGAGTGTGTCACCCCTGTCAGAACTGGGTGAGGCTCCGGTCCGACTGGGCATCGTGAGGAAGGAAATTCGGACACTTGCTACCACATGGGTGAGCGTCGAGAAGATTCTGCTCAGTGAGACAAGCTGGTCCCAGAAGGCACCAGAGATCCCACTTACGTGAGGCGCCTGGGGTAGTCATAGTCACGGACGGAAAACAGGCTGGTGGGTGCCAGGGGCTGGGAACGGGAGTTCCTGTTGAGTCGGGGAGAGTTCTAGATTTCTGCCACTAAGAATTTTATTTCACAATAACACGGGATATACTTAACCCTACTGAACTGTACACCGAAAAATGATTAAGATGAGAAATTTATGTCATTTTTTAAAACCACAATTTAAAAAAAAACACAAAAAACAAAGTCACGAGGGAAACACTCCTTCTAGGGTCAGTTGTCTGAGGACCAAGTTCATGGGTCCACAGCAAGCCAGGCCAGGTGTGTGTCATTCTGGGTGTGGGGCGGTGGTTCTGCTGAGCCACATACTTTTTTTATTCAAAGACTCATTGGCAGGGTCTGGAGTTCAGCGACCGGAAGGAGAGCAGATGTTAAGGTGGTGCCGTGGGCAGATCAGGATGCGGGAGGCCGCCTGTCCCCGGCCTGCTGTCCCCTCTGTCCTAGGAAGAGCATCTGGTTCCCTGTGGGGGGCGCCGGACGCCGGAGCCCTTTGCTTCTTGGTTCCTTCTGGTCTCCCCAGGAGGGGTCTGGCTCGGTCAGGAGGCCACAGCAGGCCGGGGAGGGCCGTTCGCACGGTTGATACAACTCTCCTCACGATGTCCTTTGCTTTCTCTCCTTTGTCCTTTGCTTTCTTGGGTGCAGATTCCTTCGGCTGCCGCAATATTTTCCGCAAAACCTCAGACTCCAATTGTGTGGCTTCTTCTTCCATGGAGTTCATCCCTGTCCCCCCTCCCAGGACCCCCAGGATTGTCAAGAGACCAGAGCCCCCTCAGCAGGGCCCTGGGGTCCCTGGCCTGCCCCCCAAGGAAGACCCCCTGGTGCTGGATATGGTACGCTCCTTCGAGTCCGTGGATCGCGAGGACCACACGGAGCCACTGTCCCCATCTCATCACTATAGGATTCTCGGCTCGCCTGGGGGCTTGGCCCGTGGGAGTCCCGGTGAGCGGACGCTCTCCCCGGCTCTGCTGCCCGGAAGCCTGTCCCCCCTGCAGACTCCTTTGCATCCCACTCTGGTCTCCTTTGCTCACGAAGAAAAGAACAGCCCCCCAAAGGAAGAGGGCATGTGTTCCCCATCTCCAGCTCCCAGCAGTGGCCCCACACAGCCCCTGGGGAGCCCAAACTGCGTGAAAAGCCGGGGCAGGTTCCCCATGATGGGCATCGGACAGATGTTGCGGAAACGCCAGCAAAGCTTGCAGCCCTCCGCAGACCGGCCCCTGGAGGCCAGCATGCCCCCGCTGCAGCCCATGGCCCCCGTGAGCCTCTCCTTCGACATGCCCGATGGGGTCAAGGGCCAGTGCTGACCTGGGCCGGGGTGGGATTCTGGGTAATTGTGAGGAAAGCAAAGGAACAGAGCTCCCCATGAGCATCAGGGTGTGACGACTGGAAGGCTGCATGGGAGCCTCCTTCAGGGTCTCTCCTCTCCCCCTGCCGTGCCGTCTCCCAACTGTGAATGGCTGACACCCACAGACCCAAAGCCTGCACAGCCCGGCCATGCACAGGGACCCCAGAGATGCCGGAATTCACTCGGATGTCTGGCTAGAGGTGCAGTCTCTGTGTCCTGCTTCTGCCTGCCCGCCCACCAGCCCTCTGCCCGCCTCCCCCTACTGGGCCACTGTGGCCATCAGCCTCTGGGCTACCCCTATCCCAGCCTGTTATGGGCTCTATGCTCATGCTGTACTCTGGGGGTGCCTCTCGGGACTCTGACTTCTCAGCAGGGAGCCTGTCACGTGGGGACTGGCAGTGTCCCAGAGCGGTTCCCCTTCCTCTAGTAGAGGTGACTCCCCGCAGGGCCCGGGGAGCTGCTGACTCATCAGCCAGGCCTCGGACGCCTCCGAGAAAAGTGGGCCGCAGCCTCGGCCCGCGGTGCCACCCTCTCTGCGTGGGAAGGGGCAGGCAAAGATGGAGCCAGACAGTGGCACCCCAACGAAAGGCAAAGGCCAAAGGGGACACACATTTGCCATCATTTTTGGTTGAAACTTGCTAAGTGTCGACTTATCTTTTCCAAAGATGATTTTTCCTTAGGGGATGTCAAATCAAAGTAACAGGATTTTAAAAACTTGGGTGGGGAGATGAGAAGCGAGCCTACCAAACTCATGTTTTCACGAGATGATACATGTGGAGGGCATGGGTGCTCTCCCATGTGAGGCTTTCAGTGGCCGGTGGCCTTCCCCATGATGGCCTGCAGGAGGGCATGATCGCCGTGGGCCCTGTGTTCTTTCCACCTTACCAACACAGTCTAACCTTCTGGAAGGCATGGGACCTAGTTACAGCTGGGTATTGAGAAAGAGAGAAGACATTAAGGTTCAATGTGGATGCATTTGGAAAGCACCATTCATTACCTCTGCTCGGTGCTGTTTCGGGGCTGCCAAGAGACCAAGAGTGGTTTCGGCCGGACGAGTTCTTTGTAAGCTGTGAGCCGCCTCCCGCGGCGGGAATCGTGGTCAGAAAAGCAGTTCCACGTGTTCTCTGAGGAGAGCAGCATTCCTCGAACGCGCTTTGAGTCTGCGTCCCATGTTCACACCTTTTGCCAGGGCTTGAACCAAAGATGCGTCTCCGGATCCTTGTCTGTGCCATCCCTGCATGGCTTTGTGGATCTCCCTGTTGTCTGACCATGTCTCGCAGGAGCCTGCTGGGGCCGCCTCCACGTGGAGCCTGGGCCCTGGGGCTTGATTGCGGAGGGGAGGCCACTCCGTCATGAGCAAAATTGGGGGAAAAAAAAAAAGAAAGAAGAAGAACCAGCACGGGGCAGATCGTGGTTAGCTCAGGAGACAGGTCACACCGTGGTTCGGGGTCTTCAGCTCTTGGCTCGTGCAGGCATGAGCAGAACCCACAGGTCACCCCAAAGCTAGTCTGCTCAGCCCTCCGAGTCTGAAACAGGCCGTGGGCCTGGAGAAGTGCGAAGCCCACCTTCATTCCCCCGGCAGCCAGCCCAGGCTGGGGAGCTGTGGGGTGCTTCTTCATCTTTTCTCATTTAGCCATTGTGACCTCCTTCTGCTCTACACGATTCTGACCGAGGCAGAAAGATATTTGGCTGACCCTGGAAGCCGCTGGGATAGGCCCAGTCTTGGCTGATCTTGACAAGACCCTGCAGCCGCTGCCTCCCCCCTCAATGGGGTCCTCCCGGCTCTAGGGCTTGCTATGAAGGAGTCGGGTTCCTGGGTGTTGGTGTTATCCCTCTCTGTGGCTCCAGACTGGGTTCCAGAACTTTCCATTGAAAATGGAGCTTTTTAAGCAGAGAGAAGAAAAGCATCTGAAAAAGACCCCTCTCCATTGGATGTGAAGTGTCTGGTTTCTGATCAGCAAAGGAACTGTTTTAGCAAGTGTCCCGCTCTGCGGGTTTGTAGGCCCCGTCCCTGTGCCTTGTGGACTTCTTGCCCTCTGTGTCTCGTTCTCGTATTGTACTTGCCTTTAGAACATAGTGTTTTTCTGTATCGCTCTTAGCTCATTGGGACATGTATTCTGTTCCTCAATCCAGGAGCAGCCACGGATGGTCATGCAACTAACTGACCATGTCACCATTGGTAGCTTGAACTGTGAACTCAGGTTTATTCCAGAATCCGGTGAGAGGTGAGGGGGGAGTGAGAAAAGGGGGGAGCCAACTGTATTTTTTGTATGTGAGCACCTGACAAATCTATGAAACCGAGTGAAAGAAGAAATGTTAAATTCTTTATTATTTTATTATATTTATATGGGAAACTTGACTGTCCCTTTGGTTAAGTACTGAGTGTGTTGTCTCTGCGACCCATGACTGTCTCTCATTAGTCTGTGCCCATGACCTCAGTCAGCCTGTAGTTAACCGATGGAAATGACTGACCTGTCGCCACGTGAAGTCCAGGAGGAAAAAGTCAAGTGTAATTGTACAATTTGGTCGTGAGTAAGGACCGTATTTATGTCACCATTATTAAATATATGTACTTTTATAATGACTGTGAAATACACTTTTTCCCTCACTTCGACTGCTTCATTTCTTTGCATTTGGTAAATCTTAACACATTGAGTACGTTTCAACAGTCAGGCTGTTTTCTACGCCCGTGACCCCACCTCGGACTGCATACAGGTGGGAACCCAGCTGTAGGGCATCTGCAGACATCTTCCATTCCTGTATCACCGCTTCATTTCCCTCGTCGCAGGTGTATGATCCACAGAATTCTTTTTTTTTTTTTTAAAGATTTTATTTATTTACCTGACAGAGAGAGAGAGAGATCACAAGTAGGCAGAGAGGCAGGCAGAGAGAGAGGGGGAAGCAGGCTCCCCGCTGAGCAGAGAGCCCAATGTGGGGCTCGATCCCGGGACCCTGAGATCATGACCTGAGCCAAAAGCAGAGGCTTAACCCACCGAGCCACCCAAGTGCCCTGATCCACAGAATTCTTATCTGACCGAAGGACAGCAGACAGTGGTTCAAGAAAAATCAACATTTTCTCTCTTTTTCAGCAGGCTCAGGATCTCCCTTGGAGATTCTGAAAATGGCACATGAAGAATGACATCTGTGAATAGTACCTCCAACTTTTGTCCTTGCTTTCGGGTTGGGGGAAGAAGGGTGATGAGGGGGAATGGGAGGGTTGAATTGTCCCAGTTCTGACTTCACTCATCACTGTCTATAAAAAGCTTTTCATATATATACATATATATCACTTTGCTTAAAGCCTTGTGTCCCCCTGCATTGTGTGGCTCAGAGGATGGCGTAGTGGGAGTGCACCTTTTGCCATGCGAGGTTTCCTGAAGTGTGGTGGGCTCAGGGAGCCACAATGAGTATCGGGTTCTGGCGATGCTCTTTCCACCCAGGGATCAGAAACATTTCAGAACAGAAAGGGACCTGAGATGATGTGCTTTAACCCCAAGCTTTCTGCAGAAGAGAAAACTGGGGCCCTGAATGGTTTAAGGACTCCCCAGCATCCCTAAGTGAGCTGGTGCCAGAGCAAGTCTGGGAGGCAGGGCTCCCCCCTCCAAGAACACGCAGAAGTCAGAGTGTGGCTGTCGTGGACAGAGTGGGGAGTCCACCGCGAACAAACTGTCATTACAACAGGTGTCTTTAAGTTCCTTCCATAGACCGGTCTTTGCAATTTCAGGTCAGTATCAGAATCATGCGGTTTCTTAAGATTCTGCGCATCACACTCTTTTCACCATCCAACCACCAGAGAAAGACTTTCTGTCTCAACAGATCTTCCAAGTGAGCAGCGACCCCTGGGACGCTTAGTTATCTGTGTTAGCTTTTAAAATGCTATTGGATTTTACTAGATGAAATCAATATAAAACATCTTCTCAATAGCCATGTCACAAAATGAAATGAATTCAGAAAGAGTGCAAGACTGATATTTTTTTTGGGGGGGGTCTGGAAGCCTCTCGGTTATTATATTTGTTTTCTTTGTAGGACCCTCTGTGAGCTCCAGGCACAGTGAGAATAATTCAGAGCAGTACTGGGAGTCGGTTCAATTTAATGTCATCACTTCTCAATGAAAGGAGCGTATTTCCTGAGTAGTAAATGAGTGTATTATTTGTGGCAGCTTTTTCGTCAAGGGAGTTTTTCAGACATCTGGTTCCAGAAACGAATGGGGTATATACTTGTTTTCTGCGGCCCTGTTTTCGTGACACACAGTCATCTGTGAATCTGATGGCTGTGGCACTGATGGACTGGGGTGGGGGCAGGGTGGGGGAGTCTCCTTCCTACAGAAAGTAGTCTCCTTCCGTAGGTCTGTCTCCGTCTGAGCTGGTGTGTGGGTAAGGAGACATTTGGGGCAACCCACTCTGGCAAGTTGGAGTAAACCCAGGGGTCAGTCAGAGCTTGGCGGCATTAAACCAAGCAGTGGAGTAAACCCAGGGGTTGGCCAGAGCTTAGCGGTTTAAAACCAGGCAATGGCACTTGGCAGAGAAGACAATGCCAGGACACGGCATGGTTCTCAGGTAGACGAAAGGAATGGGTCTGACTTCAGGGCCTGAGCTAGTTACGCAACATAGTCCCTGCTCAGAACATGACCCATTAGCTATTTTGAAAGAAAGGTCTCTGGCTGGTATTAGAAACCCTCAGGAATAACAAAAAGGATTCTGTATCGGCCTCATTCCTGGAGCCAGCTGAAGAGGGCAGGAAGCGAGCCCATGTCACGAACAAGGCTTCTCGCCCAAAGTTGGGCGGTGAATTCATGGCAGGTCTGAGAGGAAAACGCCTTCCGTGACCCCTTCGTCAGGGTTCACTTCTCTGGTGACCCGATGTGTTAGATAGATGAGGCTTTGCTCTGCTAACAAACCCCGAATCTCTGTGACTTGCCCAATAAAGGTTATTTCTCACACAGATTTGTAGGCAGTTTGGCTGACGCCAGGGCAGCCATCTTCCCTGTGGTGACTCAGGGATTCAGGCTGCTTCTGGCCCGTTGGCTCCATCCACCCAGCGTGGTTCTGTGGCTGCTGTAGCAGAGAGAACATGAAGTGGTGGGCCTTCCTCTGCCCTTGCCTGTTCTCTGAGGGCTGCAATTAGTGCCCTGGCCCTCCTGTGAGCCAGAGGCTGGGAGATGTGGGGGTGCATATGGATATTTGGGGTACAGTCACTGTTTCTGTCACAGGGAAGGTAAAGATGCCTGCCCTGCAGGCTAGACCGGCCATTCCCTTTCCATTACCCAATTATGGCACCTCTTAGTATGTACGGGTTATTTGTTCCAAACAAAGAAATAAACATTGTTAATTATTAATGTTTCATTTAATTTAAGAGGGGGTGTTTTGCGCTGAATTGTTATCCTCCCCAAAATTCATATATTAAAGCCTTCACTCCCAGGACTTCTGTATGTGGTTGTCTTTGGAGATTAAGCCATTAAAGAGCTGAGTGAAGGGACGCCTGGGTGGCTCAGTGGGTTAAGCCTCTGCCTTTGGCTCAGGTCATGATCTCAGGGTCCTGGGATCGAGTCCCGCATCGGGCTCTCTGCTCGGCAGGGAGCCTGCTTCCCCTTCTCTCTCTCTGCCTGCCTCTCTGCCTACTTGTGATTTCTGTCAAATAAATAAATAAAATCTTTTAAAAAAAAATAAAGGGGTGAGTGAAAATAAGGCCACCGTTAGGGTGAGACCTAGTCCAATCTGACCAGTGTCCTTACAAGGAGAAGAAATTTGGACACGTACAGGGACACCAGACAGAGGAAACTCCGTGAGAGAGACACAGTGAGAAGACAACCATCCACAAGCCAAGGAGAGAGTCCTCAGGAGAAATCAAACCCACCGACAGCTGGGACTTCCAGCTTCTAGAACTAAAGAGAAATAAGTTTCTGTTAAGCTGCCTGGTCTATGGCCCTTCATCATGGCAGCCCTAGAGAACCAACACAGCAGGGAGGCCAGATAGGAATATTTTTATATGCTCCACAAATCTGACAAACTTTCTCTTGTATCTGCATCCCATTTACATTTTCTTATAACTAAATCACTCCTGGAATGTCTTTTCTTTTCTTTTCTTTTTTTTTTTTTTTTTTTTTGGCAGTGAAATCCCACCTTTCCAAGTGTCCCCTGTGTGCCAGGCCCTGTGCCAGCCAGTTCCAAGTAGATTTCTTCTTTTAATCCAGAGATGCACAAACTTTTTCTGTAAAGGGCCAGGTAGTAAATATACTCCTGGTATATTTATATAAATATACTTCAGTATATTTCTCCAGGTGGGAAATATAATCTGTTGTATATTCATCTTTGGGTTTGTAGTTTGGTGTTTGTTTTCTTTATGGCCCTTGAAACATGCGACAACAATTTTTACCTAGTGGGCACATAAAAACAGGCCACCGCAGACTTGGGCCCTCAGGCCTCCTGCTGTACCTTCCCAAGAACCTTGTAAATGGCCATGTTGTCTCAGATGAGGTAAGTTTAGGTCGTTTGTCCAATTCACACAATCAGGATTTCAGCCACACACTGCAAGCGCTCGTTTTAGGAACGAGCCACCTGTAAAAAGGAGAAAGAGCTTCTTTTGTGATATCTGGGCTCACAGGTGCTGAGAAGGCGTCATCATTCATAGTAAGGAACCGGGCAAAGGGCCTGGGGTGAGGATTTAAGCTAAGGGAATTTGGAGGTGGGGAGAGACCCTGGCCTTGCTCCCTGTATTGCTCTGAGTGGATTTTCAGGGTTGGCTGCTGTCCACAGACCTGGTGGTGCTTCGGGAGAGCCATCCCTGTCATGAGTCTGCCCCTGCCATGGAGTCCCCACCCTCAGATTCATCCCTGCCTTCATCCGCGTGGAACGGAACGTGGCTCTGGGGCGCAAATCATTTTTCATTCAAGCCATGTCCCCTTTCTCTCTGTGAATGGCCTCTCAAAAATGGGTTCTCGTGGCTGATAAAGAAAGAGCTTGCAGAAAGTCCTAAAGAACAAGTCTAAATCTAGAGCAGACGTGAGGCGGGACAGTGTCTCATAGATGAATCACTGCCATTACTCACACCTGAATGATGCCGTGTCACCGCAGGTTTGACAAGTGTCCCCTTTCATGAAAGATGAATCGTGTCATCTGAATCAGTTCCAAAGAGCCCATTCAGAGTCCTTCCCACCCATGACCGCTTCAATTACATGAACCATTCTCACTTTTAGAACATTCGGGTCCGAGCCACAGAATCACGGGGACCTGGTGGGTGGGGGGCGGTCACCCAGCCCTAGCCTCAGTCTCCTGGAATTTGGGGCAGTCCTCAAAGAGCACCAAAAAAATGTGGGTTTTTAGAATAAGCACAAAGCAACTTCATGGAGCAGAGTTTCTATAACTCACCTCTAATTTAAATTTAATTTTTTTTTTTAACTTACAACCAACCTGTCAAGCGTTCAGATGCAAAATCAGTGTGAGTCTTGCGAGTCCGACCCTCCGCGTCCTCTCTGCTTTGGATAGTTCTGGGAATAATTTTGAAAGGTAGAAGTCAGAGCCAACCTCCCTCATTTTACATTGATTTACATGATGTATCTGACACCGAAATGGAGAAACGGTGCATTGAAGAATTCCCAATTTGTCAGT